CCCCCCCCCAAGCAGAGGCGGCCCCTGCCGACCCCCTCCTGCCCCTCCGCCTCGCGGGGCGTCTCTCCCCCTGCAGAACATCGGATACAGCTGTTTGCTCCAGATGTGCTGGAGGACAACTCCCACCCAGGGGGGCAGTCAGCAGAGGGTGGTCGGTGAGGAAGAGCTTTAAAGAATGGCCTTTTTTCAAGGGAAAATCCAGAGGATTTTGATCGGGGAGTAAATCAAGATTCGTTGTTCTCGCCATGCACGTATATACATAACCCGAACTAGACTGTTGTTTCTCTTGTGTCGTATAATATATGTAGGTATAGGCATAATTCTGTATGTATGTATTTATGTTGGTCGTATTTATGGCGTATATCGGAGGCGGTGACCCTTTGAGAGCTGATGCAACGAAATTTCATTTAAATGTATGCCGGTTAGTGTACACTCAAAGTGACAATAAAGTTATTATTCTATTCTAAGTCCTCCTTTTAATGGCGGAAGGGGCCGGAAATGCGTGTCTGCACTGTGAGCATTAAGCAGAGCGCCCAAGTGGACAGACCCAGGAAGGCCCCTCAAAATGCTAGGATCATAGGTAGTCCTTGACTTACGAGCACAACTGAGCCCAACGTTTCTCTTGCTAAGCGAGACATTTGTTGCGTTTTGCCCCTTTTTAGGACCTCCCTTGCCACAATTAAGGGAATCACTGCTGTTAAGTTAGGAACACAGTTGTTAAAGTGAATCTAGCTTCCCCATTGACTGAAGGTCACAAAAGAGGATCACGTGAGCCCGGGACACTGTAACCGTCATAAATGTGAGTCAACTGCCAGGCGTGCAAATTTCGATCACGTGATCACAGGGATGCTGCAACGGTCACAAGTGTGAAGAAACTGTCCTTTTTTCAGTGCCGCTGTAATTTTGAACAGTCACTAAAGGAATTGTTGTAAGTCGGGGGCTGCCTGTACAGAGCCACAGGCCTGCACCACAGGGCAAAACCTTTTCAACCAAGGTACCTCAAAGGGGCTAATTTGCGGGATCCAGACCCTTTTGCCCCCACAGGATGGGATTCAGGTCGTGGTATTGGCTGTTTTTACACACTTTCAAGAGAGGCTCAGTCCTTTCTCTCTTGTAAGAAGAGTCAAACACTCAGAAGAGCAGAAACCCCAGAGAACCTCCCGTGGTATTTGGTGTCTGTTGTTGTGTGTGTTCTCTCCACATAATAGTGTAGTGTGCACTGTTGACAGCACTTAATTTTGTTGTGAGTTACACAATGACAATAAAGATATTCTATTCTATTCTATCCATAATAAGAATAGAGCTAGAAGGGACCTTGGAGGTCTTCTAGTCCAGCCCCCTTCTCAAGCAGGAGTCCCTATCTCATTTCAGACAAGTGGCTGTCCAGCCTCTTCTTAACCACCTTCAGCGATGAAGCACCCACAACGTCTGAAGGCCTGGCAAGGAGGAGAGGCAAGTGATGGGGTTGTCCTTGGCTGCCTTTTTAGACCCCCTCCCTTCCGCTCCAGAGAGAAACAGCCCTGGGGTCTCCCAGC